TAGGGATGGCCGGTTAGCTCACTGGCTGAGCGTGGTGCTGACAACACCAAGTCAAGGGTTGAGATCCCCTTACCGGTCATCTTTTTAAAAAAAAAAAAAAAAAAGTAATGGGTTCTATCATTAAAGTTTAAAATGTCTCTAGAACAAGCAATAACTACAATCTTTCTTCAAGGTAAGTGATACTGTGAGTAAAGATGGTAGAACAGTAGGAAAATAGGCCATTATGCCTTCCTAATTCTACTCTATAGTGTCTGTCTTACCTTATTTTCCACAAATTCCTCAAGACCTACATACAGACCACACTTCGTCCCACCGCCAGCCTTTCTATGGCCTACCCTACCTTCCTGGGAAGCCTTCTTGCCTTCCCTCCTTTTATCCAAATTAGATTCCTCCTCCAGTTCTACCTTCTGAGGAAGGCACTGTCAAATACTCCAGACAAGAGGAATCACTCCTTTTTTTTTTTTCCTCTTCTGGTATTTAATTATATGAACTTTTCTGTTATTCTATGATAATTTCTTATGTATTTCTTTTTCCTCTCCCTGTAGACTTGCAAATCCTTTCCCACTCTATCTTAAACAAGTAAGATGTTGATCATCTAGTTGTTACTAAATAATTCAAATTTGCCTTCATCTGTCTAATATCTTGAGAAACACAAAGTGTTTCAATAAACTGAATTTTCCCCAAAACTACAGCTCATCCTTTCAAGACCCACATCTTTATTTTATGTTAATATTTTAATGGGAATTGAAAATATTCACTATTCTCATATCTTTTAAAAGAGGATATATCAAACATACTTTGTCCTTTTTTAGTACTTTGTAGCATACATACAAACATCAATTGATGAACTCAATCATATATAAAGATGTCCTCTAAAGCTATTAGTATTTCTTGCTACCCTAACTTCTTCCAAATACCATAGATACATAGTTCTCATGACTATGTTAGAGTTCATTTTCTTTATCTGATGACTGCTAGTAGTCTTTTTAAAATTGTCACCTGGCATATAATAAGTGCTTTATTTGTGGTAAAAGGAAAAAGAAGGAAAAGGAAAAGTAAAGGTTTGCTACAAAAATTAAATTATTTTTAACTTTTTCATGTATTTCTTATTCAAAGCTTTGTTCCAAATATCTTGAACTCATAAATCTTGAAAGACATACAGATACATGAGCTATTACTTTGTTTAACAATTGGTTGGTGGTAGAGTTTGGTTGTGTTGTCCCCCCCAAATTCATGTGGAAATCTGATTCCCAGCGTGGCAGTATTGGGAGCTGTTTGCGTCATGGGGGTGGATCCCTCATGAGTGGGTTAATGCTCTCCCTGGGGGCAGGGGTAGTGAGTGAGTTCTCGCTCTATTAGTTCCCGTGAAAGCTGGTAGTTTA